ACCCGGAGACAACAGGGAATGGAGGGGGAGTTCAAGCTGACAGTGTGGCCCTACTGTAGATAGGGCAGGTTATGGACTGCCCTGTGTGAGGATCATGGCAAGCTGACTGAGGGAAGTTCTCAGCTTCCTTCTCTCGGGATTACTGACGAATGGCCATGTATGTGCAGATTGGGGTCCTCAAGCTTAATAGGGCCGTGGAGAAACTGGAGAGGGTCCAGCAGATAAAAGCTAGGATGGCACACAGAACCTGTGTGAGGAGCTGGACTTAGGTCTTGTGAAGAGGAGATCAGAGGAGTTTGGCTTTCAGAGGGGTGATCCCCCTAAGTCCCTGCAAATGGCAGCTAAAAGCTGATGGTGCCACTCATCTCTGCAGAAGCTCAAGATGGACTTGAGTTTAGAGGCTTAAGGTGGACATTAGGAAAAGATACATTCAACAGGAAAGTAGTGCAGCACTGAAACAGGATGTTCATGGGGCAGCCAGAATCTAAAGTCTGACTTACTAAATCTGCTGCAGCAACAACCCTGTTTCAACCAGAAGGTTGGAGTACAGACCCCAAGAATTCCCTGCCAAACAACATTTTTTACAGTTTTAGGATGGTCTCAGGGTTTAAAACCAGCTGGCAACAAAGTACCACACATCCACTTGCTCACTTCCCCAGCAAGATCAGAGAAATAATTGGAAGGGCAGAAGTGAGAAAACTCATGGGGTAGAGACTGTTTTAAAGGTAAAGCAAAAGCTATACACACACAAGCAAAACAAGGAATTAATTCATCCCCTCCTGTGGTCAGCCAGGTGTTCAGCCATCCCCAGAAAAGCAGGGGATGCTTATACACTGATTCGGGAAGACAAATGCCATCATTCCAGATATCTCTGTATTAGTTCTCCTTTCCCCAGCTGTATGTACTGAGCATGATGCCATATAGTCTGCAACATCCCTTTCTTCAGCTGTGCTCAGCTATCCTGGCTGTGTCTCCTTCCACCTTCCCATGCACCCCCGCCCCTCTCCCCATCGTGCCAGTATAAGAAGCAGAAAAAGCTCGGTGTGAGCCCTGCTCAGCAATAACAAAAACATCTTCATATTATCAACCCTGTGCTCACCACAAATCCAAAACACAGCCCCATACCAGCCACTGTGAAGAAAATCAACTCGACCCCAGCCCAAACCAGCACAGATTGTTTTCTTATCCCACCTGCCCCACATCATCTAGTTGTAAGCAGTCTGAAAGCAGGCGGGAAGACTGAAGCCATATCAGCAACACACAAGTTAAAAGGCTTCCTTAAAACTGCAGTAAAGGATTCGTAGAGATTGCTTGCAAAGGCATCCAGAGAGAGAGAGTGGAAAACAAATTAAAACTCTGAGAAAAGGCAATCTGAGACAAACAGAACTCAAGCTGAAAAGAAGTGTTGAAAGGTAAGAGTACTCTAAGTCCATTTTTTTAAGGTTAAAAGGTGAGGTAGTATACTGCAGCATTGAAATAAAAAGTTACATTTCTAATACTATTTGCACAGAGGCGTCACTCCTTTATGAGAACAAACATTGGCACTTTAAAAAACCACAAAGATCCTGCTGAAAAGAAGTAGTTTTCTTCCCTTTCTGCACAAACCTATGAAGCCCCAAATCTTTCCCTGCCTGGGAAAGTCTGGAGAAGAAAGATGAGATAAAAGACTTGATTAATTGGAGAGACCCATTTCAACAGACAGAAGCTTAGTGGGGCAGAGCACCCTGATACCCTTACAGGCTGTGGTGAAGCACTTTCTACTTGCTGAAGTAATGAATTAAAAGTAGAGGAATGGCATAGAATTTAGCAATTTTCTAAAAAAGCGTCTAAAGGTGTTTAAAAAGTCAATGTGCCATTGATTCAAAAGCAGTTCTATTTGAAAGCTGTTTCAGTAGATTATACCTAGGTCATGGGTGCAGAAACTAACATTTCTTGAAGGTTAGTGCTAAAAGTGCAGGGCCATGATGATAAGGACGTGAAGAGGATCAGAGGGCTGGAGCACTCTCCTACAGGCTGAGAGAGCAGGGGCTGTTCAGCCTGGAGAAGAGAAGGCTCCAGAGAGACCTTAGAGCAGATTTTCAGTACTTAAAGGGGGCCTATAAGAAAGATGGGAACAGACTTTTACAAGCACATGTAGCAGTAGGATGAGAGTCAGTGGCTTTAAACTAGTAGAGGGGAGATTTAGTCTAGCTGTAAGGGTGACATTTTGACAATGAGGATAGTGAGGCAATGGAACAGATTGCCCAGAGAGATGGTAGATGCCCCATCCCTGGAAACAGCCAAGGCCAGGCTTGATGGAGCTTTGAGAAACCTGTTATAGTGGAAGGTATCCTTGCTCATCACAGGAATGTTGAACTAGATGAGCTTAAAAGGTCCCTTCCAACCTAAATCATTCCGTGATGCTGCTCTATGATTAAAATAGCTTTATTTCCAATGTGAGCCACATACTTTTCACAGTAGCACTGCTATTTACTGACATAAGTCAACCAAGACCCTGTGGCTCGGTGCTGAAACAAATCTATCTACAATTACGCAAGGCAAGTCTGCACACTGCAGTCTCTGTGGTTCAGAGGTTGAGTTTACTGCATTTGAATCATTTTCTGTCAACTTAAACAGCTGATTTATGGATCAAATTTAAACTTTTACCTGAATTTGGTTATTGTGTTTATTAATGCATTGCCAGTTTAGTGAAATCATAGTAACTTAGCTTAGTGTGCTCTCAGTTAAGTAAATATTGATGTGTCCAATAGAAGCAAGTTGTACAAAATGAACATTGAGACCTTAAGTAACCTTAGACAAGAAATTTACAACTCAGCTGTCTCTCTGCAGGTTCATTTCCTCTCAGCAGCAATTCAAAAAAGAATTAATCCACTGCAGAATTAGCTTTCTCCAGAAATGCAAATCTTCTTCAGCAGAGCAGCATTTTTTAAGCACTTTTATTGCTCAAGCAATTGGGGCTGACATCTTCTTGGAAGAGCTTATAGAATTTGTAGAGTGTGAAAGTTACAGCAATGTGCAACCACAGCACAGAGATGAAGATAGATGCAAGAAGACAGGAACCTGGGCTGTATGGAAAGAAGCCAATTTTATACTTCATTATGATTTTAGATGTAACCTTTTCAGCCAATGCCTCTGTTTCACATCTGTTATTAAAAATTTGAAGTTGTTCATAATCTTTGTATTTACATTTTTTTCATACTTCTGAATCATTACATTCTCTTGAAACACAAGGTTAAAGATACAGGGTCTTATAGTCTGATTACTCACCCTGTTGCAAACGATCTTTTGGCATAATATTTTGAAACCTTAGTTTAAAAAAAAAATTGTTTACTTGCCTTCCAATGTAGAAGCAGATAAATCGTAAAGACAAGGACATTTCTGAAGAAGCAGCAGAACAGCTTCTTCCACGGCTACACATACACCAGAAAACAACCTAGACATATATAAATTTGATCTATTCACCTCCTTCAATACTGAAAAGCATTTGCAGTTAGAAATTGAATTATTTTGGGGGTGGACAGGGGGAGGAGGCAACAGGGAAAGAGGAGACGGAAGAAAAATTGCTACAGCAGCAAGATGTTACATTTTTCTAGTTGCTAGACAAGAACTACTTTTATTTTACAGGCCAAAGAGTGATTCTCTAGTCTGCTATTTAAAACACAACTGTAATATTTGAGTTCCTCACAGCCTTGAATATTTTCACACATTCCATCTTCCCAAAGAGAGCACAAGTGACACCAGCCTGATTCCAGAACACGAAACAGGGGTAAATTCCCCAAAGTAGTTGAGTAAGTTAAGTAAAACTATCTAATTTCCAGAGCAGAGCTGAGGAGCATGTTTTGAGCTGTATGAGTTCCCTACAGAGGACACAAAGAGAGTTAAGGTGCATCCAAATGCTGACTCTAAAGAACCAACTCAGACAGACAACCTGTTGTGAATATTTGCTTCAAGCTAACTTGAACCTATCTCTCTGCTGGTTACACAAGGAGACAGATGGGATTTGCTTGGATGTAAATATGTAAATCCTAAACCTTTTCTTTTAGTCAAATGAATTTTACCTGGAACAGCTGATGGAGAATATTCAGTACACATGTGACTCTTAAGTCTGAGTTTTCTCTGGAGGCTTCCAGGGCAGATCTTCAGCTGCTGAAAAGTGTTCCATCGTCCTTCTGTAACAGTGGGTAGAAAATTTCCCTCACTATTCAGCACTCAGGCTCATTCTTTCTGCTGCCTTAGAGTGCAAGAATGGGGACTGTATCTTCTAGTCTCCTCAAAAAGTTTCCTAGTCCTTAGGCCATGGGCTGTTTGGGACATAGCAGGTGGGAGACAGGGACAATGAGGAAATGTTTGGATTAGAAGTGCCACATCCTCTCTTTACCTTTTGGCACCACGGGCTGTTTGCAATGGAGCTGCAGACTGCCTGGAAGGCAGCTGGAAGGGAGAACACCAGCACATGCTCTCCTTGCTCTGGATCCTGCCTGAGGCACGCAGGGGCCCCTGTGACCCACGGCTGCTCCCCAGCTGCTGCACACAGAACCCCACAAACACACACGGAACAGGGAGCTCCACAACCAGGAAAAGAGGAATGGAATTTCAGGGGAAGGCAGGATAGACTGCATTGGTGAGGCACTGGTCATGGCTTTTTCACAAAAACTTTGTTTGCTACCTCAGGTCTCTTGAAAAAGTAATTAAAATGCTAGCTGGTGTGTCTGTAGGTTGCCAGGAACAGAGCTGGATGTGGCTGCTGTGCATGAGGCATGATTGCACCAGCCCCATTCCCTTCACAAAAAAGCCTGCCTGCTCCAGTGGGGAGAGAGTGTTTGGATTTTCATATGCTTTGTTTTCACAATCAGGCATTAGTTATGCTTAAGGTCCACTAATCTGGTCTTGTGGTTCAAAAAATAGTGCAACACTCTGTAGAAGCTATGCAGCATGGGGTTGGGGGTTTTTGTTCAAGTGGCATTACAAAATGGGAGGATAAGACTTGTGTAACAAGCCAGGAAATTTCAAGAACAAATTTATTTGCTGTAAGTTTCTCTTTTGTTTTTACAGTTTCAAATTATTTTCTTGCAAGCCTTATTCATGGCCAGTCCCACATCCTGGGACTCAAATTAAATTCTTCGCATCTTATTCATTTAGTGAAGAACATAGATGTGTGAAAAGCCCCTAAAAGCAGGTATAACATAGAAAATGAATGCAATAATCCACAAATATTTCAATATGGAGACTATTATGCAGTTAGCACATAGCAGCTAAATTAGAAGCAGGTAAGCAACAAAAATAATCCCCAAGCTTCATAAACTCATTTGAATGGAAAAGTACAGTTGCAAGAGCATCCAAATTTGAAACATGCTCTGCAGTATCCTTAGCATATGGTGTTTACTAACCCTGCAAGTATTCAGAGCCTTGTTACTGAAGGAGATGGTCTGGTGGTGTTATCTGGAATAACCCTCTTCCTCCTCCCTTTTAATGCTGGAGAGAGTAAATCATTCAGGTATTCAAGGATTTGCATGCATTTTTGGAAACTGTAGACTGACTTCCCTGTTATTATTTAACCAAAGAATCAAGACTGGCCACAATTAGCAGTGAGGCATTAATGCATGAGCTTAGTCTTTGTGATATGAAACATCAAAGGGAAAGAGAATTAAAAAACAATTTTGACTGAATTAAATACAACTGATTTGCCTAACTTGACTTATGGCGTGTGGAAGGTGGCTCCTTCACCACTTTCAAGACAGTTGCAGAACAGGTTTGGTCACCTGGTAGCAGGACAGAAGCAGAATGCTGCACCTGTGGAAGTATCCAAGCTGTCCATGCATAAACCACATTCTATTGACAGGAGGCAATGGCAGGGGGCAGTAGTGTTAGGTTTCCATTTGTAGTGGACAGAAGTCCCCATCTGCCTCCTTGGCTTGCTATCTAGATCGATCCATGGCTTGCCAGGGGCACAGATCCAAGGTGCAGCAGAGGAGCTACCACGGAGCTTGGGCTATCACTCCCTGCTGCTTATCCACATGGGTGCCAGTAATACTGCCAGAGGAGATCAGTGGGGTCAGGAGTGCCTACAAGGATCTGAGAGTGAGGGTCAGGAATTATAGGCTGGCCAGCCTGCAAAAACCCTGGACCAAGGCTCCTTGGAGCACATTTCTGGGCCTATGCAGAAGAAAGTAATTAGGAAGAATCTTCATGGGTTTACCAAGCACCGGTCACACCTGAACAACCTGATTGCTGTCTGTGATAAAATGACTGGACTTGTGGACAAAGAGAGAGCAGTGGATGACTTTGACCCTGTCTTTAGCACTTGTCAGCCCTTTTTAAAACACCCTTCCTTCTCTCAACTTAAAAAATAAAAATTACAACCAATGAAGTTCTGTAGTACTTCTGCCAGTTAGCACATGGGTCCTTAGTAGCTTCTGACCCCAGTGAGTTGTTGTCATGGAAGAAGAACTCACACAAACAACTATGTGAGTCAACTTATGGCTTTGCCCTGCTGCAGATATAGGGAAGATATTCTCATATTTATTTCAATGAAAAAACAACACAGACTTCCATTGTATTGACAGATTTTTCTTCCACATATAAGTAATGGTGCACACCCAGACCTTTTGGTGGAGGTCTGCAGTCCAGCTGAGCAGATATGGGCTGGCAGAGCACCTGGGATAATGGCACAAATGAGGAGAGAAAAAACAAATAAAGTATCAACAAAAGGACATGAAACTGAAGAGATCAGAGTAGTAGTTGTAGAAGAAACTTTCTGAGCCTCTGTTCACCCTGACAACAACGAGTCACATTTCTGGGATCACCAGCAACATTGCACCTGCAGGTTTAAAGCATTGTCTGGAGACAGAAATCTTTCCTTGCTTTTTGGCTGAGAGCAGGTCCACCTTCCCCTTGTCTTTCCTGTATTTTTCCCATCTGGGTAAGTAAAGGCATTGCATGGAGATCTCCTGACATCTTGACAACCTTCTGTGTCACATGCCATCAACACTTATTACTCTTCTTGACCTCCACCACTGCTTTTAAGGTCTTCCCTTTCTAGGCAAACCCATCCAAAGCCTTCTGCTGCAGTTCTCTATAGGTGATGCAACACGCTCATCCCTGGAGGGCACTAAAGCCACTCCACTCTGCCCACAGGCACATTCACATGGGTCTGAACAGACCATTCCTGTCTCTGTCAAGTAGTTTCTTCCAGAAACAGACCCAAACTTCAGGGTGCTTTTTGACAGCAGTGAGATGCTGGATGCAGGAATAGGACACATGCACTTGCTTTCTTTGCACTTGCTTTTTTTTTTTTGAAGACCTACACCTTCATCAGCACATGGAAAATACACCCTCATCTGGGGCAAAAGCTCAGCAGCTGTCCAACTCCTGAAGACAACAGCAAGAACACAACCACAGACCAGATTTCACCCCATGCTGGCAGCCCATCCACACCTTTGCCTTTTAGTTCTACCACCTCCGTATGTTGATGCTGACCTATTTCTCTATCAGCTTTTTTCTGTAATAATTACATCTAGACCAATAATGATTCCTGAATTAGACTTAAGATTTTACTTTTCCTAACAATAACTTCTTGGCCTTTATATACAAGGTGTGCTTCCTCTTTGCACATAGACTTGAACACAATATCACATGAGTGGGTTTGAATCTGTCTGTATTAAGAGCCTCCACTGATAGCTTTTGATCTGGGATCTTTACCAGTTTCCATTGCAATCATTGATATTTGTCTATATGTTGCTTGTTACATGTTTATATTTTTGCTTGTGTATTTGCTTGTCTGTACATAATATTCCTTGCTTGGATTGTTTTACTGTTTCTATATACATTTAATTACAATGCTTACGATTATAATCCACATTTGGCTTCTATCACAAAGCAGACACATGCTCCCAGCAAATTATTATTCACAACAAAACTGGTGAATGTTACAAAGGTGAGCTAGGGATTCATAAAGTTACATGTATTTAGTAGTAAAATAAGTTAATCTGTTCCATTCAGTGATTTCTACAACTACAGCCTATGGTATCTCCTGCGCATGCTGACTTACATAGTGAAAGTGTAATTAAATAGGTGATCATTGGAGCTACAGCTGCTCTTTAAGCTTCTTAGTATTCAAGTAAAAGTAAGAATGAGTTATATAATTAGAAGGAGGGAATCAAATAATTTCCACCTGTATTCTGGTTTACAAGGTTAGTAGCACTGCATTTGTGTTAAGCATGAACATATATATCACCTTGGCTTCTCTTTTTTTCAGAAGTGGAACTGGTCTGGGAGTACCCAGATGACCTTCTGAGACGGTCAAAGTGCAGGAAGGAAGAAATGGTATTAATCATTCTAGCAAGGCAAGGAGTTATGCACTCAAGTGTTGTCCAGTTACCCCTCCTAGTGCCTAGATTCAAATTTTATATTCTCAGAAGTTCTATTTTGCTTGATGCCTGAGCCATAAAAAAAATCTGGCTAGAAGTGTCAATGTTTACATGCTAACAATTCCCATTCTTTCAAGTCCTGTAGGGGATGGTCTCACACAGTACACAGACAGGAGCTAGGGAGGAAAGAGAACACAGTGAGTAGAGAAAGCAATTCTGTCATCTCTTTTATATAAGAACCCTGAGGTTGACATCAGAGACAATGCTGCAGAGACAGTGTTTCTCTGTCTGTGGAAAGCAGAATCTAAAGCTCTTTTTGAACACTCACTCCATGAAACTTCATTGCAGTTTCTCAAGTGGCACTTCACAGGCTAATTTGAACTGCAAGCAACCAACAAGTACCCTGCTGATAGCAGGAGTCTTTCCTTGCACCAAACTTCACAGGATGTGACAAATGTGTGTGAGTGAGGGAAGGGCCAGAGATCACTTTTAGGCTTTTGCAGAAAGACTAGAGTTAGCAGAACTGGCTTACTACTGCTCAGTCCTTGCTCCCTCAATCGAACCCTTTGCATGTGCATATTCACCTTCCTTTAATCTGCCACACCTTACCCCCACAAATAAAGGGTTGGAACGTTCTTGATACCAGGAAGTCTGACATGGAAAAGCCCTCAGCATTCCAATCTGTCCTACTTTGTATGGAATAATTATTGATTATTGAATCAGAGACTTATGGCAACTATAGATCAAGTTTTAGAACACTTGCCTAGAAGCAGCTGAATACCCAATGTGACAGTGATATATTCAAAAAACAAGGACTGTAACCCTTTCAAATTAAAGTAGTGAAAATCAATACAAAACCCTATGAGAAAGGTGGCATTAATTACAAAAAAATATTCTCCACCCATCTTATCATTCTTTGCTCAGTTTTACTCATATAAACATATACACTGGTACTATGGGATGGATCACTTCTGCTTAACATGAAGAATGAGATGTGCCAGCCACTGAATCCCTGCCATGTTTTCTGAAATCTTTTTGTTGGTAGCTGTATTGGGCCACTTATTTTGCAACCCTCAGGAGTCCCCAGTTCCTGAAGCATAATCTTTTGCCTCAGGAATTCACTTACAACAGCCTCCAAAAATGTTGGGCAAGGCAGCTGCCCATTTTCTGTTATTTCCTCATTTTGAGTGTCTTGTGGGGGCAGCCTGTCTTCCTGCTGGAATTCCAGGATGGGAGGGACACAACCCACATGATATAGCCATGCAGCCATTCTCTTGTTGTCAGAGTGCCGGTCTTCCACTGCCAAGGCACCTTCCTCAGCTGCTATTGATTTTATTTCTGTCACATACACCATTGGCCTTTGATGCTGGTCATTCTTCCAACCTGTGCTCTAGTGCTTTTTGGGGTGCTTTCATGTAGATAGTTTCTGTTCATGCTGTCATCTCAGTCTGTGTATCTCTGGTCTTTTCCTCCAGCCTGAGTGAAGACATGACAGACTTTGAGAGCAGGGCTTAAAGCACATGCCTTGCCTCAACCTCTCTTATGAGCTGGAGAAACTCTAAAGTTGCTGGGCTTTCTTCTGTCTTATCTGTAGGTATCAGAATGCATGGGGAGAATGAGTATATTCTCATAAAGCCTTCCAGAAGCACTAACTTGAACAGTGGTCTATACATGCAGATATACTCCTCCCAGCTATGGAACCAGACCTGAGATGTCAAGTGTAGAAATTCTCCTTCTGGAAGAGTTCCCTGTGGAAAGAGGAATCAAATATCAAATTAAATGTCAATAGTTTGCCACCATCTCCCCCTTTTTGCTCAGCTGCTTAAGCCTCAATGAAATACAAGAAAAAAAATCCAACAGAGAACAAAGCTCACAGATTCAAATAAATTATTTTAACAACTCACAGAAAAAATTCTTGTTTTTCAAAACCTTATATATGGAGAGACCGTCCTTCGTCTCAAGTCTTCGAGAGACCATTGAAAGACAATACATATGTGAGGTTTGGAATTCCTAAAGCAAATCTCTCCTGAAATACTTTATTTTTAAGGTTTGATAGACGTACACAGAGCTATAGAATTGCATGTGCAAGAATAACAGTAGTTCCTGCTGGAACTATGCACTATGCTTATCTCCATGGCAGCCAAGCAATTAAGAAAAGAATAAGCAAACATCTACTGCTGCATATTTCTTTCCCTCAGCCCTCTTCCTGTTTTTTGTTATTTGTCAGCAATATGTACTATGTTATTTTGGATCAGAAACATCAAGGTTAAAAGAACAGTTACTGAACAGCGCAAAACATTTTATATCCAGCCCTTCAAAGTTCTGCTCCTGCGGGAGGTATTCAGCCTGATCCTGTCCCACCTGGAATGAGGAGGGACTAAGGAATGAGTGCTGTAACAACTGGGTATCAGCTATCAGCTCTTCCCAGAAGCAGCTCTGCCAAGTCTTCCACTTCACACTGGCAATTCATTGGCCCCAGCCATTATCTCCTTTGCCTCATCACACAGGGATGTCTACATCTCGTGCTGTCCTATTGTTGGCACTGTGAATCTTTGTGAATCCATGGCCCCTTCTCTGGTTGCTGACACTGACTTCTCCACATAAGCAGAGGCTAGAGTGTGAGACTGCACAGGAAAAATAGAATAAAGAATATTTTAGGAAGAAGGTAAGAGAAACTGCAGTTGAAGCAGGACTTGATCAGACAGCCATATCAACCAGCAGTTTGCTTATATATGGCTGTGCTCATCTATCCACACTTTTCTCCATTTTCCTATGCTTCTGATTCCTGCCTCCACCTTGATATCTTTTTCCCACCTTTGTCTCCTAAATAAACAACTGTAGTTACTTTTTCCCCATTGGTTCCAGTTTTGCTACATCCATAATCACATTTGGCATTTCTGATACCTTTAGGTATTACATCTCAACCTTACATGATACAGAACCATTAAGGTTGGAAAACACCTCTGTGATCATCCAGTCCAATTGTTAACCCAGCACTGCCAAATCCACATCTAAATCATGTCCCCAAGCGCCACATTTACACATTTTTAAATACCTTCATGGACAGTGACTCTAACCACTTCCCTGGGCAGCCTGTTCCAATGCTTGACAACTCTTTCTGTGAAGAAGTTTTCCCAAACCTTTACAAGGTTTATTGATATGGTAACATGGACACTGAGGGTTTTTTACCAAGATTGCACTCCCCAAAAAGACTCCAGTATTGCCTTCCAGTTCTCTTACAGTTACCTGGGAAGCTTGTCCTTCTCTCACACAGTTCCCCATAACCAGCTGTGAAAAACAGCCATTTTTCATGGTGTTACTCTGTAATGTTTGCCAGCTGCTCACTTTGCTGTTTGTTATGTTTGGCAGTTTCTCTTGTTATGTTCCCTATTTTCTCATGTTCTGTTCCATTACCTAAGCCTCACCATGGGGCCTCATAGTCATCCTCATAATGTATTTCAGTGGGGAAAATAATCCATAATGTCTCCCGGTGCAGAAATCACAGAAAAATACAAATAACTTGTCCCATAGATGGAATCACAATAAACATGATTGGAAAGGATTTCTGGAAGTCATCCAGGTGAGTCTTGAGAATTGCCAAGGCAGGAAATTCACCACCTCTTTGGTCAACCTGTTTCAGTGCTTAACTGCTCTCACCATGGAAGAATTCCTTCCTTACACGTCACTGGCAGTTCTATTGCTCTGCCTTGCTGCTGAAAAATTTTCCTCTTGTCATTCCACTGTGCATATCTGATCCAAGTCTGGTGCAAAGTTCTCTTTTACAGCATGAAAGGAAAGTTTCTTCCTGTAACCTATGAAGCCCACTTTTCTGCTTATCTTATCACAACAGCAACATGTGTGGTTCAGGACAAACAAGAGGTTAAAAAAACCCAAAATTAACCAAATTACTTCATGAAAACAAAAGTCAGCTGCCTTTCCTCCTAAATGGTTCAAAGGCCACATCACAGTTTTCAATTCTGTGGAATCACTTCCCCTAAATCAAGGCTACCTCTCATACAGAGAGAAAAGGAAGATGAGAGCCTTGGGTTTAGAGCAGAACAGGCAGGAAAGCTATTCCAAAGCTTTAAATGAAAGATAGTGTCAGAAATTCAGAAAAGGAACTCCATACCTGGCTAAGGATGTTAGTATTGTCTGAGTTGCTAAGCAACTACATAAGTTATTAATTTCAACGTTAAGCAAATTCTGTTATTTCAATAATGAAATAAAGTCTACTTTTTATCATTTAGAAGAAACCAAAATTTTCTTTGTAGTGATAGGATACTTCTCAATCTTTCACTTTACAGCAGCTTGCCACTAACATATAAAACTCATACAATTGTAAAAAATACAAAATTCTGAATCGAAATGTGGATACCCTGATAGAAGCAGACTTCTTTCCCCAGTTTTTCCCCTTTCCCTGAGAGGTTTAAATGTCACCAAACCTGAAGTTGATGTCTATCACTCAAGTCCTTCTACTTTTTTGTATCTGCATCTCTGTCAGCTTATGGCAGAAAGATGTATTATAGTAATCAGTGTTCTGCTGAAGGTACAGCATCTTTTTTGATGCTTATAAGATTTATGAGCTGAAACAAGCCCTAGTCAGCATAGATGTTAACTACTTCAAAAAATGCTGTTGAAATCATCCCCGAGTACAATTTTTTATTTTTTACTCTCTTTTTTGTGCTGAAATTGGTGCCAAAGCATATTCAGACATTTTGGTTGCTGTACCATCTCATGGTAAAGAAAAAAATTAATTGACATGAAAAAAGAGAAAGCCACACAGGATAAGATGTGAAATCATTTAATAGATCAGCAGCTTAAGACATTTGCAGATGTAAGTATTTACTTATGACCTTTTGTGATTTGTACTGTATAAGAAATTCATGCCACATGCTTTGAAGTAACACATAGATCATTGCATAATTTCTCATTAGTTAGAATAATTCTGCTTTTGATTGTACCATGAATAGGATGGGCCAAATGATAATTGTCACCTAGTGAAAGCTGGGGAGGTTTTACAGATCTCAACAGACCAATTTACACTGGTCAAGCACCTGATTCATCCTTCTTCCTCCTCTCCTGCCACTTCCTTATTGCTTCTTTGGGGAAGGAAGGTAATTTCACATTTGCAGTCTATCTAGGTATTTGTTTATTTTTAAATAAGGAAAAGTTTCTTCTGGGCATTATTTGAGGGTGAGCAATAGTCTCAGAACTTAATTCAAAAAGCAGCTCTTAAGCACACAGTTGCATCATGAATATTTATCTGGCCGCGTGCAAAAGCTCTGAATATCTTGGCTCCACTGCTCTCCTTCTGCATGAGACCCCCCTTTGTTGGGCAAACGCTGCCATCGCAACCAAGGGCAGCAGAAGGCGAGGGGGCTGGCAGGCAGGGAGAGAAAGCAGGTTGGGTTTTCAGGCTAATTACAAGGTTTTGTGTTCTGGGTCACCTTGTAAATGAGATACGATGCTCAGAAAGCTGCAGCCAAAGCTGCTCGGCAGAAAGTGGAGCACACGCACAAAGGTTCTGCTGGTGTTTAGCCTTTCTTGAACACAACCTGCAATTTTCACGGTGAGCAATTACAATGGCTCTAGAAAATTGGTTCCTAGGGCATCTTGCTAAATAGACAAAAGTTGTTTTTATATGCCAGGCTGTAAAACTGTTCACTCTGGGTCTGGTGAGTGATCTGTATCAATAGACTTCTTTCCTCAGAATTCTTTTGACACACTTGCTAAAATGCATTAAAATTAATTTTAACACAGCCTCAACGAAACAGATTTGAGCAGCTTTGCAAGCTAATGCTGCTTCAAAACATTTTGTCATATTGATCAGTTTAGCACTCCTTCAGTTTAAGGCTGGCATGGTTTCTGATTATCTGCACTGCACATGTAAAACATTTCTAGGCTATCTGAGGAACAGATCTGAAGGCAGCTGGAGTCTGATTTCTACATCTCCTCTGCCTGTGGCCTGTGCTTATGCTTTTCATTCACCTTATAATTCTACAACTTGAACTACATTTGCCAAAGGAATATTGTGAAAATTAGTATTTTCACTGTTCTTTGGTGGTGCCTCACCCTCACTCCTGCTATTTTCTGGATGACAGTGGGCCGGTTGTTTATTTACACAGTAGGGTTCTGTTTTCAAATGCTGCTTCACATAAATGAGCACCAAGGGCACTTTCACTCTTAAAACACTGCACAGGGTGTATATAGACTCAGACCATACCAGGGCTGATGCCCGACACAGGGAATGGATGTTGTGGGGACACTTTGGGGGCCCCTCAGGTAATTGCAGCTTAACACACCTGCACATTGCACCTCAGCTTTACCTGTGCAGCTCTGCAAGCAAAGCACTTGCTGCTGAATATTTGCAGCCCTGGGGCTTTTTAAAAGCTGTGTAGATGCGGCACTTAGGGTGTGTTTTAATGTTGGACTTGGCAGTGCTGGGTTAATGGTTGGACTCAATGGTATTAAAGACTTTTTCCAATCTGAACAATTCTATGATAGCATTTATCCGAGGTGTTGATGAGGACATCGGGATGGACTTCTGTCCCTCACTATTCCCAGTCTGCTCCTCACAGACTATTTCCAGCACACCACTAACAAAACTTACTCTCTTAGGGTGTTGGCTTTGTTCCTGTCTGCCTTGAGCAACACGGATAAGTCACAGAGAAAAAACAGAGAGAAAAACAAGGGATACAATGAGTCATCACTTTGATAGCTCAGATCAGGCACATAACTGCTAGAGCTT